ATGGAACGCTCCGTGAAGATAAATGTATCACAGATAAATGACAGAAAATAAAAAGTATTTCAGTATCACTTTGTGTTTTCGTCCACGACCATGTCCCCCCTCTGTAATAATTACCTATGCACAAACTCTAGATGGCAATATTGCACTTACTGTACTTCCACAAAATTGTCCAGTCGATCCCCACGCATCCTCTTTATCAACATTTTATGTGCCGTGGATCTATAGCCTCTTATTATAAGTGTAATGAAGCAGAAGTTATTGAAGCCTTTTATTGATTGCTCAGATCACAAGTTTACTGCCATACTGAATTGGCACCTTACTCGCTGAAGCAAACTGCTGACACCTTTTTTAAAAAGTGACAACTACATCTATTTCATGACCAGAAATCCATTTTCATCTCTATCAAGACAAGAATGCAATTTTCACTTCATTTAACTGATGTTAGGCCGGCTCAAAGCATGGCACATAGAAAAAGACACAAGTTTAAGGTTCTTAAAATACTTCAAGTAACTAGAATGCAGCTTGGTTTCAGGGGAAAATCAACAGTCACTAGAATCTGCGAGCAATCTAATATGCTAAAGAAAATTCCCTATCAGAACCTTAAAGTAGCTTTATACTTTCAAAATGACACCACTCTGTTCTCTAGGCACAATGGGGATTTATGCTTGGGGATTAAAAACTGCTGTTAGCAATATCAAAGGACATTAAAAAGGTTGTTCATAAGCCAAACATTGAGTTTCATCCCAGAAAGGCTAACTCAAGGCAACCCTGCACTTGATTTGCTGTGGTCAGTACATACCACGTTAAGGATGAAACAAAAATGCTTAGCCTCTTAGTAAGATGAAGACTAACAGATGATTTTACTTGGCCTTAAACAAAGGAGCTAAAAAAGCCAGCCTTCAAGCACTTCTTTTATGAAAATAAAATATTAAATTTTCTTCTCTTTTCGAAATGAACAATTTTCTGTCAGTGCTAAATTCAACTCAAGTATATTTTAAGATGGATCATTTTTGAGAATGATATTGGTATATTTAATATTTAATTATAAAACATTGAAAGTATGGATAAAGTCATTCACTTTTAGCTTATATTTTTTAAATCTAAAAGGTTATAAAAATCTTAATTTGGATATTAACAAAATACATTTCAATTTTGAACTGAAAACTCTGCACATACTAAAATTATCTGGTATTTCCTTATTTAATAATATGCTCATAAAGCAAAACCATGATATGGCTGCAATTTAAAAAGTGAAATCTAAGTTTTTAAATAGAAATTCAATGTCTGGATTTTTCAACCCAGTGCCTCAAATATTAATCTTTTTAAAAACACATGTAAACACACTGACAAAGGTTACTTTGCTTAAATTAGTTTTTCCTTAAAAATCAATATACAAAAATATTTAAATCACCAAGACCAAAATCATAGTTCTCAACAAACTTGACTGAGTAATGAGTTAATATAAATAACCCAAGCACTCATTTTCACAATAAAACTAAAGAAATAAAATGTTTTCCTGCATTTTCAGACATAAAAAGAAACTGCTTGTGTGTTTCAATTATTCAGGTTAAGTTTAGGAAATGCCTCCAGATTGTAAGAAATGAGTGGGTGTTTTATTATTATTATTATTAATTTTGTTTTCCATAAGCTAAAATTTAACTAGAAGTTGATCACTCTTTTCCGTGGTGCTGAAAATGAAAGAGTTGGACTTCACATTTACAGGATAAAGGCATCGTAAGTCCTATGGCAGTGGCTGCAAGCCCAGATTTAAGGCGTCCATCAGCAGGGTGGAGCAGCCATTTCCTTAGTCCCTGTCTGACACTCAGGAGCGATTGTACAAGCTCTTAACAACTGAAACGGGTCATTAACAATTTCAAATGGTTAAAACCGAGAGTTTATGAACCTTTTAAAAATGATATTTTTAATAAAAGACAGAGTGCTATATTAATTATGTATAACTCTCTAGGAATTTTGTTAGTTGTGGGAGCAAAGAAGTGTCTGAATCAGGGAGACAAGTGGCTTCCAGAGATGAAGTTTCCCCCAAATCATGTTTGTACTACACACTGCCGATCAGCTATTCCAAGCCCTAATTACTGTAGCTGCCTGGCACACTTCCATGGACGTTTTTCATTTTTACAGTATTTCTGAACAGACTGACATATTTTGTTTACTGACAGCAACTAAAGCTCTGTGTAGGAGCATAAATAAAGAAGATCGCGTTTAAAAATCGCTAATATCATTTTAAAAGGTAGTGCAGCCTTGTGTTTTGGCCTCTGTTTGGCTGTGTTAGCCATGAATGACAGCTTCCCTGCTTGAAACGCACAGAAAGCACAGCCTTGCTCATTCACTGACAAGACTGTGGCCTTTTCACACGTTCCTTCCACAGCAGTGTTTGTCCCCAAACACTGGAACTCGACACAATGGCATTCCTACTCCAACACCCCCACCAACAGCACCAGTACATAACAAGAATGCTAATGAGCTGGAGCTGGCCCTGATGAAAGTGTTAACTACATTTCATCAGAAAGCGGTTATGCTGTTCCAAAGATTACCAATTAAGCAGATTCTGCTTAGCTCTCAGTGAGTTCTAAGATGTTTCTACTCTTAAGGAAATACATGTGATAAATGTAAGACTAAGTGACTTTAAGTTGTCCTACATATAATGTCTCATTTTAATGCTCACAAAACAGTATATATTTAAAACCATCATAAATAGTGTGCTTACTTCAGCTGCATGCTATAATAGTTGAGCTAAAGTTTAAAATGAAAAAAAAAAATGAGTAGGTTCATAAATACAAAACCAGTAGTCCTGACTTTTCTTTTAAAATTATAGCATAATAATTTGTTTAAGAGAAGTTCCTTTGGTAATGTCAAAATTATAAATCCATTATGTTTAACCAAACAGCATGGGTTTCACATGGGATGTCAGTAGAGTAAATGGAAATAATATCAAGAGGAAATGCTGTCCTACAATTTTATAAACTCGAGATTTGTTAACAAAATAGGAACCATTGTTCATCCACATGTCACCTGTCTAATGATTCCTTAACATGGTTAGACAGAGCACTACATAAAATGGCTTTCTGGAAGGTCAGATGAAGTAATGCAGTTCGAATAAAGCTCATTAATGCTAAGGGGGACATTTGATAGGAACTCCTACTCATAAAATAGAGATATTGTCGGGATTAACGCTTGGCCCACGGTGACATTGTAACAGTACCACTATAGTGAATTTTTAAAGCATTCAAGCCATGGGAAAGAGACACAAAATATATATAGTTAAACACAACCATAGAAATTTTTGCAAATTCATGACATTCTGCCTTGCCTTTATCTCTATACTTTACTATAAAACTTATGTATGATGTGAAGCTTAGCATGTTTGTTCATGTTTACATTTAAAATTTAATAAAATACATTGGTCATCATTTTGAGTAACGCCTTCTTTAAAACAAAGCAGCCATTCTCAAGGTATTTTTTTCCTACAATGTTCTGAACTCTTAAATTTAATGTTTAATGCCAGTTTAATGTTTCAGTGTTTAGAGTGGCAATGTTTAGAGAGGCTGTTACTGTCCAGATACCCCTCAGTCTTTCCAACCCTTACTTCCAATAGAAAGTGCTTATCTCCAGATTTTATTTAAACAGTGCTTTTCTTGCTTTAGAAAAAGCTTTAAGTAACGTTAAACCCTCCAGGAAGTGAAACCAAATTATACAACAGCAAATAAACAATTCAGCAAATTGTAATCCATTTTATGATGTCATTATATGTTGAACATTAATATTTAAATGAAAAATAAGTTAAACACAATAACATAGTTATTTACTGGGTTTTGTATATGATAGCCCAATAAAACATAAAGAAGTTTGAATTTTTAGTCAGATTGTCTATAGTAGTTATTAATCTTCTCTGGTTCAATGAAATTAATTAAAAAAGCAAATCAAATACACTTTCCCTATAAAAGTTTCTCTGAGATGCCTTTGGACATTCTGAACTTTCTTCCACGTATCATGAATTGCTCTTTTCCAAAACGACAGCAGGAGGCGCTGTGTGAACACCAAGACCTTCATTTTAAGCCCACCCCTCCCCTTCCTCTCTGTATGCAAAGAATGGAGAGATGCTTTCAAAATATTCATTTTCAGCAGCCTGTGGCCTGAGATAATGAGCCAAGTTCTAAAATGGAAGCTCTGAATTCACAATGTAAACCTTACTTAACACAGGGAAAAGGTTGGCTTCACTTAGTCTAAGAGGGAACTTTCCTGTTTTTTCTTAAATGTTACTTTTTTATTATCGAAATTGAAACATTCTCTTTATAAGTCCTTCTTTAATTAAACAAATGTCCCAAAAGTAATTACAAAAGTACCTGTCTTTATCCATATACACATATGTACATAAACATACAACTATAGAATGAATACAGATACTAAAAGGCAAAATCAAGTTTAATTTAGCCCAAATAAATTTTAACTCAACTATTCTTTGGATCCTAAAATATATAAGTTAAATAAGTGTGAGTGAAGTAAGAAACTCTTGAGGTGGAGTCAATTCACAGTTCATTTCTCTAGAATCTGATTTGGTTTTAGACCCATTTCTACTGAGTTTACACCAAGAGAAAAAAAAAATACTAGAGGTCTAAGCCTTCAGATGAGTGGGGACCCATTTATTTTCTTCTCTAGTGTAACTGACTCTAGAATTTCCACATAAAGGTCTGCTTTTACTTTACAGAGTAAGCATCAAGAAAAGATGAGATGTATGACATTCCATGCCAAAAGACAGACAAAATTAGCCCCCTTATCACAGGCTTCAAGATTCCAGGAGCATTTTGGCTCTCCCTTACAGGCACCAAGCTCGCAAAATACATTTCACAGTTCTTACAAAACAGTGCCAAACATTGCATCTATAGGACCAAACATATATGTATATACATACATATATATATACATATATATATACATACATACATATATATGATAAGGTATTATATTTTTGAGGGATGACTCACCTGCTTGTAATAATTTTTTGCAGACTTTAATCGTGGATACAAGGCCCCAAGAACTCCTTGGATGTATATCTTAGCACCCGAGGGGCTGAAACCTTCTCCCTTAGAGACCCAAAGTGGTCCCCGCAAAGGTGTGATGGAATCTTGCAGGCATTTTTCAAGCACAGGAACTATTGGAGAGAAGAAGGGGAAAAATTCCTTTGACCCAACTGAGATACACTGCCTGGAATGCAGCCTCAAAACCAGAGCTGACTCTTAACGTCTATTATTTATGTCTGACCTGGGTTAAGTCTGAGAGAGGCAATTCCTGCATTACCAGTGGCCACCATGAAGGATGTATTTATATTGCGACACCCCCCATGCAAGTCTCATAAGCTTTGTGGGCACACCTGAATAGTTCTGAAGTGTGCCTAACTAGCTGCACGGAGTGTCATGGTGTGCACTGATTGCCTTATCTTCTCATTTATCACAGATGAGTTGGAACCAGCCTTGCCGAAAGGTACTTTCATTGTCCTGATAAAACTGTAAGATCCATGTTGCTTCTGTATATCGCTTTCTGTAGAGGAATTTGTGTGCCCAAAATATCACATCTGGAAATTATTCATAAGACATAATCCTCACCTTTATAAGCCTTCCTACCCCAGGCCTGTTATTGACATTCATTAAAGCAACCCACAAAACAGGATAAAGACTGTTTAAATATAAGAGGGGAGAATGTTAAGCAAGGGTTTTCTCATACCTTTGTGTTTCCAAGTACCCAGAATATATAAGCTAGTGGTAGATTTAGGAATGCTATCCCAGCAGGAGTTTTGTAAACATATAAAGATGTTTATTTGTGGGCCTGTAATGTAACATCCATGTGGACTTGATGGACATGTTAATACACTTTTTCACATGATTAGCTCATAAAGTCTTTGCACTGTAAAATACCCAAAAGACATGGCAACTAGCTAATATTTTTCTAAATTTAATTTTTCTCTGAAAAACTAGAAACAAATAAAAAAAATTGGGGGCCCAGAAAAAAAATCACTTTCATTAAATATGATCTTTACATATATATATATATATATATATATATATATATATATATATATATCCTAAATAGAAACATGTGAAAGAGATACAAATCTTGACTATATTATTCTTGCACTTATTTCTGCTAGAAAAAAAAGGAATTAAGTAGATTACAAGCAAAGAAAGTAGATCTGTGCCCTTGGTTATGTTATATGTTGCACATTTTATCCAGACGCCCAGCATTGCAATGCGGAAACTGAATTACAATTAAGCACAGCTGAGCTACTGAGAGGCTGAGTTATGCAAATGGCCTTTGCTACTGGTGTTCAGCTAAATCTTACTCTTAGTTAAGAAACCGTGCATCTTAGGACACTGTGTTCTCCAACTCATTATCAAAGCACAGCTTAAAATTCTAGTGTCCATTGCTTGGGGGGAATATTGGAGGCAAAAGCTTTTAAGATTTTTCTACTACTGTCAGGAAAATCAAAAAGTGTAATACGGTGACTGCAGATGTATGCATGAAATTTTGTCATACAGTTTGAGAAACTAACTATTGAAATTCTATCAAGCCCTTTCTTAAACACAGCAACTGCTTTTCTCTATAGGTTTTAAGTAAATAGGTGCCTTACACTTTATATGTCAGATATATATGTATATGCATGTATATATATATGTATATATATATGACATTGTATGTACTACAAAAGAAACAAAAAGAGAGAAATTGACTTACAGTTTTCAATCTTTCAAAAATAAAATGGGTAAGACTAGTCGATTTTGATAACAATCTGGCACAGCTAAGCACAGTTTGGAACCATCAGTATTTTTAGTTTGCTGACACAATGTTCATAAATCGCTGTGTATCTGGTTGATTTCTACAGCTTTAACTGTATCCTCACTCAACCCAGTACACTTCTGAACCCTACAAAGTATTACTTATAGTAGTTAGTGTAGACGTTAATCTTTTTAAATTAGATAAATTAAGAAGCAAGGTGATAAATTTCTAAGATTTATCTCAACTTTAAATCTGAGAAAACTCTGTGAGATTCATCAGTCTTGTTCGTCTATATCCATCACAAAATAATTTTCAGGCTCTTTATGCCAGCCCAACACATTTCAAGAGAGTATTTCCCCGACTTTTCTAACACTGTTTTCAGAATCAGTAATCTCCATAACAATTTAAGAAAAATGTACAACTTGGGACGCGCGAGGGGAGGGGAGGAGGGAGAATTAGACTTCAATGTATAGAAAATGCCAGAACCGATATTGAGTGGAAAATTGCTCCCATGCGCCGCATGGTTTACGTCATTAGGAAAACTATGGAAACCAGAAACAGTAAAGCAAAGAAAGCGGTATTCACAAGCAGGCTGTATAAGGAACTTCAGAATCTGCTCTGAACTTGTTGAATAATCTGTTCAGTATCCCAGCCTCTCCCTGCTGGAGGCGATGCCTCATTATAACCAGGAGGGCACTAATAAAGGTTAGCCTCTGAACCAGGGATTAGAAGGCTTTTTCTCTGGGGACGCTTCAAACTAGTAACTTTGATGATCTTGAAAAGGGAGACAAAGCGCAATCCAAGAACAAACAGTGTTTCCACTAAGCAGGGAGGTACAGAAAACAGAAGAAAATGATAGTCTAAATACTCGGGAAAGGAGTGTGAAGCAGCCTGTCTGCCGTGTTGAAAATAAAATGTATTCAGCACAAGTAAGAATACTCCACAACAGGGGGAGGGATGAGTCAGCCTAAGATGCGGTTTGAATGTAAAAGAATAATTGATTTGTTGAAAGTTACTTGAGTTTCCAGAACAGACCATAGATTTTTAACATGTGGATGGCTGGGTTTTCACTGTATTTTAGTGCCCACAAAAGATATTTGTTTAGTTGGTTGTTGATTTCAATTTTGTTGTTGCTGCTGCTATAAGACAAAGTACCACTGTGTAGTTTTCACTTGCCTGTGATTCACATGGTAGACCAGGCTGGCCTCAGACTTCTGATGACTGTCCTGCCTCTGCTGCCTGAGTTCTGGCACTACAGATGTAAGCCACCATACTTGGCTTCATAAGACCTCTTGTTTGATTGTTTGCTTGTTTATTCTTCTCTCGTCCATTACATCCTGACCACGGTTTCCCATCCCTCAGTTCCAGTACTTCATAAGACTTCTTAACCAGTGATTTTCTTCTTCTATGTAGAACTATCCTTTTCTATTTTTCTATAGAAAAACTGCATCTTGTCCCATAAATATGTGCAAGAAATTAGCACATTTATTTAGAAAAGTCAAGTGATATGCTTTAGCCTTGAAAAAGAGCATAACCTGTGTGCTGATGGATAAATTCTGGGATTTTATTTACTGTGTCCTTACAAAACATACACCTTCTTCAAAGTGTTGCCTATAAATATTGCCTCACTCTTGAAGGATATCTCATGGGTGGCTAATGTTGATATGCAAGGCTACATATATGCATTCCTTCACATGTAGAAGGCCTTTACCTCAGCTATTCTACCAACTCCCTACTTACTTGATGTAGACAAGAACTTTTACTTTCAGGGTTTTCATTTCAACCCTATATATTAAAGAGCATTAAAAATCCAGCATTCCTTAAATGTATCAATATGCACACATAGACATGAGTTGAGATCATTCCTACTACCACTTGAAAAAATGTATATGGATAGTTGCTTTGGGTATATTTTCTTAAAGCACAGATTCTGTATTTCAGGTAAAAGGAAAATTAGTCTAACAATGTTGGTGGGTTTACATTTCAGTCAGACTACATGTTACTAGGAAGAAGAAGTACTACCCAGAACAAGCCCAGCTGCCCATGGAGAAAATTCTATCTATAATGGTGGCAGCAAGCTGTAAGATTTTAACATGTTTGCCTCCTTGTCTCAGGTTACCTATTCAAGTAGATTGTAAATTAATAATTAATTTAATGATGTAATAGTTTTATAATTTCAATAATTTAATAATATTTAAAAAAATTTTTTTTTCAAGACAGGGTTTCTCTGTAGCTTTGGATGCTGCCCTGGAACTAGCTCTTGCAGACAAGGCTAGTCTCAAACTCCTGAGATCCACCTGCCTCCCGAGTGCTGGGACTAAAGGCGTGTGCCACCACATCCCGGCAATATTTAATAATTTAAAAATAACTAATAATCTCAGTAGGTAAGATTGAGGATGATGGGTAGCAATAGCAAATTTAACCAAAGGAAATGATGTGAAAGGTCAGATGCCCATAAGTCCTGTTTGTCCTTCAGGAGATCTGCAGCATTCTCCTCTGATTTTTCTGTCGATTAATTATCCTTCAAGAATTGTCTCCCTTGTTATTTATTTAGAAATAATGCCCTCTTCCTTGATATTTTTTACAGTATTCTCATTGTTCTATTTGTATTAGTCCTTATTTTCTCCCTCCCCATTTCCTTTCTCTACTAAATCTCAAATCCTTTGGAGTTTGAGGTCCCAGTGTTTTGTTTGGGTAGTTTTACTTTCTCTTTACTCGACAAATAATAATTATGTGGATTTGTGGTTAAAATATGATATATAAATTGTGGAATAGACAGATCATGTTGATTATTATATGAGGGCTTGATGTCTTTTAGTTTGGTAAAAAGAAGTGTGTCTTCTCTTCTGCAGGCACTGTGCAAGGCCATTTATAGTCTTAGACCATGAATGCAGGTGCAACAAGTCACTCAGAACCTACAACTTCCTACAACATGCTAAAAGCTTGACAGCTATGCATGGCCATAGCAGATTTCTCAAAGCATACTCAGGTCCTGCACAATGATTTTTAATTGTCCATATAACATTACTTGGAGAATAATAGAGAAAAATCAACATTATGTTAAAAACCATGAAACTTAGCAACAAAGTGTTAAGTTGCCAGAAGGTGGGATGTTGGTATGTTTTAAAGTCCTTGGCAAGCCATCACAAATGATGCCTCATTGTAAAGCATGCATCTGCAGGGAAAAGCACACACTGACATTTAAATAACAGGGCAGCGATACAGCACTGAGCTCAAGCAAGCATTTGTATGAGGACAGGCAGCTTCCTCTGTGGCCACCAAACACAGTGAGTTCACAAGACGATCTCACATTAAAACTATCTGTCACTGTTAAAAAGTTTGAATGGTCCTGAAAACATCAAAAAGAACAGTACATGACAA